ATGATACAGATAACCCACATGTACTACCGTATTTTTCCGGTTGTAAGTCGACCTTTTACGACTTAAAATAGAAGGAGAAAGGGTGGGGGTCGACTTACAACCGGGAACTATCAGAATCTTACAAAAAATTACCTGAACTGCATGCACGAGTGCACTATGTGTACACATTTTTCCAGTTTATTGGTCTTTTGAAGGATTGGGATGTTATAACCTCCAACAAGGAATGTTTACATGATTTGTTGATGTGTTAATAGCAGGGAGGGGTTAGTAGTGCTTCTTTGGGTGAAAACTTTAAAACACAGAATTGAGACCTCCGGATACGGGGGTCGACCTATAACCGGGGTCGACTTACAACCGGTAAAATACGGTACATGTAGACATACCTCCAGAAAAATACTGGGGTCGTGATATGGCCCAGTATCGATATATATATTCACGGCTGTTAGCTGCACTTGGATCGCGGCAACTTAGTTTTCTGCACGTGAACCATGAAAAATCAATGCATGCTCATGCATGTTCATGCATAACCAGTCAGCTGGCCTGCTCGCCCACGCATTTGACAGGTAACAATTCCATCAAATTTGAGATATCGCTTCGTTCTAAGTCTCAAAACAGTTCTAAAGTCACCAAACCACGCTGGTAATCGATGGCTATTCAATGTTAACATCTTCAGGAAGACTTCAGCCGTTTCCCCGAGAGTTTGGGCATCGTTGCCGTTGTTTTTCACGGTGTTCTTCTTCCTCCTGTCTGGAGCTGCAATTGCATCCTGGAATTATTTGAAAGGTATTTCGTGCGGGCTATGGGGGGTTCCAACAGGCATAAACTGACATCGCTATAGGATAACTGGTAACTTTCACCCTTCAAGGAGGTAGAGCAATGAGAATTTTTTTGTGGCGGTCGTCCAATTTTTGTGGCGGTCGTGGCTGTATTTGTGCACTTCCAAGGCTTTCATTCTGCTTGATACTACTCTCTACTGTATGGGAATCGTTGTTTAGGCACATGTAGCTGTCTTATTTGGTAGATCTGCTGTTTTCAATCACTTGGGACAATTTGTCTAGCCTATTTGTCTTTCGTTCGTGCCATCTATCAGTTTTGTGGGGTGCCTTGACCTGTATTTGTGAAGTTCTCGAGTAAAGACCCTAATTCTTGACTGGAGTCACGTCTTGAATTGAATTTGCTGGGCGAGCCCTCGTTCACGCAGTTGTCCTTATCGTAATAGTCAATATCTGCTTGCTGGACGGACTAGCGGCTAGAACAGGGATGACCAAATGGTCCAAGTGTGTACTAGTACACGATTATTGTTTCCATCATCGTGAAATGAGCGTTGTGGAATTGCAGTCGTCTGCATTTGGCACTGAGGACATGAGGAGAGTTGATTGTTACTTCTGCTCAGCAATGAAGCGATCATCAGCTCTCTTTGTTCTAATTATTGAGAGGACATACCGGCATCGCAATCAAGTAAAGATTAGGCAAACCTCGCCTACCTCCAAAGAGAGTCGAAGATATTTTCTCCAAATGCAAAGACGATCTTTGTGAGTTTGTGACTTGCATTTGCGCGCATACATGAGCAGGTCACGGACCACGGCACGTGCGCGGTTACCATGCCATCTCGAACCGACGCCATCTTTCTAAGTTGCCGCTTCTTGACAGCCGGGATCAGCGAGAATCGACCTTAGCTTCGGGTGAAAATCATTTTTTTCAGAATAAGTCATTTTCTGCAACGGCAAAAAACTCTTGCTTCGCGCTCTGCACATTCAAACAAAAATTAGTTCATCGCAACAATGAATGCTTTTGATCGTCCCAGTAGCAGGAGAGTTCGCTCACGATGGCCAGCTAGCTGCCGTCCGGCTCCGCCAGAAGCCATTGGATTTCCTAGGCAGGAATCGTCGCGCCTGATAGAGAACGACGACAGTTTCCAGAAGATGCTTTTGTCGACGCGCAATTCCTATTTAGCGACGAGAATTTCAACTTGATATAGGCGCTCCGCCAAAGGAGCTCTCTGCTGGCAAAAGTACTTTCTGACATCTGAAAATCCTTGTAGGGCCCTTCTGAATTTAGTACAGCTCCGCTCAGGAGAAATACTCAACGAGGAGAAACTAGTGAGGCGACGGCAACAGAGGTAGACGAACTGAAACGCCCTGGATCAACTCGAGTCAGGACGAAAGAGCGCTGCCGCTATTGACATGATCTGAATTTTCCCAGGCTCCCACACTGGACTCCGTGGTGAACACCAAACCCCTTGGACGGGGCAAGAGCTGAACATTGATTGATGAGCTACGAACTCTCAGCGCTCAGTGCTGGAATCATGGCGCACTGACGCGCATACAGCCAGTTCCCACAGAGCTCAAATAATTAATTTCACAGAGGTGCAGCAGTGATGGACTACCTCTAAATCGTGTATGACTATGAGATGAAGTGTGGGGTGTTAGAATGTTGTGCCTGTGTTGTATTCCCTGTGGGATGCACAGACTGGGACTCCAGGTGTAGTTGTAGCCACCCTCCCTCCTGTTGTGCACTTCTGTGGATTTTCAGCAGACTTGGGATGGCGTTCAAACAGTTTTCATTGGTATGCAGTGATGAGGATCAAGACCATCCATGCTCTGTGCCAGAGGTTGCCCAAGAGTTGTTTTACAACAAAAACTGGATGGATGATTTATTACACTGTCTATTTATTATTATTTCACTGTAACACATAGTATTCCGATGTGGAAAACACGGTGATAAATTGTTGTATTTCCTGATATGTACCTATGCTTGTTTGAGAAGCTTCTGGGTCATCAATATTGCTTTGTTCGGTCTAATACTTTGCCATGTGATCTCTAGATACCTATAGATGACAACAGCAGAAAAAAGTCATTTTGTGAAAAATCACCCTAAGGTCCATTTCCGCAGATACTGGGCCATATGAGGAAGGAGAGACAGGAAGGCTTGTGCAACCCCCCCCCCCCCCCCCCATTCTCGATGCGGCATCGTGCATCATGCCTATAAAGTATAAAGTTGTTACCGGTACTGTAGTTGCAAAGTAATAGTTTACTTGCAAGTTGCAACGCTGACGCCGAGACCTCTGCATCTGGTCGGTTGAGTTGCTCCCAGCACATCGGCACATCATCCCTACATCCCCTATGACTATGTTTTGTCCTTTTCCTCGTTTCTTTTTGTTCTCCAACTGCTTTCCAGTCCGTACCGGTATGTAACAGAAGACAGAGTGAGTAGTGATGTACTGTCGACACATGCACGTCCGCAATCGCTGGTACATGTACATGGTGGTCGTCACAGCGTTACGTAACGTTACTTGACACTACAAATATATTAGTATTTCACGTTCGCATCCCTTTCGCATCACTTTCATGTTTGCACTCGAGGTCCGAAGCCTCTCCTAATCTCGCGCCAACAAAATACTTCAAGGCGAGAGGCGCTTACAAGTAAGTAGTATTCTACTTTGTAGGTCAGGTGCCTAACACCCGGCCGGGCGTCACTCCCCGTCAGCGCCTGGCCTGGTGCGACGAACACCACTAGCACTGCCAGTACTGTACTAGCACGCACCTCACACATGTTACGGTTAGGTCTATAAAAACCAGGGCATCTCAGCTCAGCCCAGTCTGAAGCGATGACCTGACGACAGCTGGCACGGAGATCATTTTGATACCGACTACCCGCGGCTCAGCCTCAGCGCTTCCATGCTCGATCCGGTTGGACAAGGGGCTGGCTCTCGGAGAAGATTGACGAAAAGAGGCACAGTGCAGCAGCGTTCTGGTAGGAGCTTCCTTCATCACCCTGCGCTACCGACTTGGATCAGGAAACCGGTGGAGCGTACACAGACGTTGTGAAACCACAGAGCTGGCACGGAGATTCCCATGTCGTCCCCTTGGCCCTAGCTGAAGTAGTCGCACGGATCCGTTTCTGCTCTGCCCGAACATAAGGTATTGTGGCTCCTTCTCTTTCTTTCTCTCCGCAGATCGTGTTTTCAACACAACTGCCACACTACATGACATGTTGTGCAGCCTATGTAACTGTACAGGACCGTCTTAGTCTTTTGAACACTTGCACATTGTACATTGTAGTCCTACCGGTACGCGGTAGCTTGTGCACCTGACCACCTACGTTTTGTAAGTCCTTGCACTGGCAGACCATAGCGATTCAGCCGACGACGGTCGGTCACACATGCCCCAGGTCCATCAATTCTGGTTCCTGTGAGAGGGAACTAACTAATTACTTGGTCCAGAAGGCCCCGTGTGATGCAGGTATCTCTTCAGTAACTTTGCCTTCGTGAGCACCCTGTGTCAATGATGCACACAAGGCAGTAGTAAAACCTTTCTTATCTACTCGTACTCCCTGGTGCGCATCACCACTGCACTGTATTTAGGTGGTCGAGCCAGGAGGCCAGTGTTCGTCAGTCTTACCCCCCCCCCCCCCCCCGTGATCGTTACAGTTGTGCAGTAGCATTCTTCGAAGGACATCAAGTGCCCCCCCCCCCCTCCCTCTTGTCAACTGGGCCCTAAACAAATCCTAAGATGCAGTCACTGATTGTATTTCTTCACGTGAAACGAAAGTACATTCCTAATTCATCCACAGATACTGGTCATGCACACTGCTAGTAGTGGTTGGTCTCACTCACTACAGTACTGTCGAGTACTGTAGTGGTGCTGAAGAACGACCAGGCTAGAATTTCATCAAGCACAGCATACCAATAATGTATACACGGTGACTCAAATGGTCTATCTAGGCTAGGGGGAGGCTGACCCCCAGTTCTAGGCTAGGAGGAGGCTGACCCCCAGTTCTAGGCTAGGGGGAGGCTGACCCCCAGTTCTAGGCTAGGAGTAGGCTGACCCCCAGTTCTAGGCTAGGAGGAGGCTGTGACCCCCATTCGCGAACGACAGTACTGCTGTACTGACAGGTATTTCTTATTGGGAAAGCCCCACCGCAGAAACCTCTCTTCAAATGTAACAAACATCCTCCTCCACTCCTTGGTAGGGACTGGATCAGACATGGAACAGGATAAATAAGTTCAGATAATGATTCAAGACGAAAAAAGCATCACTAACAGCATTTCTCCAACATGGGTGGCAACAAGCATCAAAATATATATATGCAGTATATGCAAAGAAAGGGACAAGAAAAGGGAGCCTGATTATGAAAGTGAAAAAAACACACACACACCCTATTAAACTAGACAAAAAAGAAGGAAAGGGAAGCATGATCTAACAAAAGAGGAAGGACACTCGGTACGCGCACTAGCACCGGCGTTTAGCACTCGGTTCTAAGCTCACACCACCACTGTGCTTATCAGCTGCAGCTCCTGCAGCTGCCTTGCTGCTTGTGCGCATGATCTGCTCATCGTCACTGGCCACGAGAAGAGCATCGTAATCAATGCCGGTGCCATCATCGTCACTAGCAGCTGTGTGAAAGTCAAAATCAACGCTGTTCGCATCTTCAGCATGTTCAGCACCAGCGTACTCCACATCGCTGGTAGCCAGATCCTCATCCTGCAATGAACCTGCCGAGGCATCGTTCAGATCCTTTAGCTCTGCGTCCAAATCGATGTCGGGCACATCACACGCGTCGTCATCAATGTCTACTCCAGCAGTACCGCTGACAGGGGGGTCACATTGACCTGGCGCAGCAGCAGCAGCATGGCTGTCAGCATCGCCGGCAGTCACATCCACCGGGACTTCCCCACCAGCGACGTCGACATCTTTCACGTCCAGGACGTCCGACCAGTAGTCGAACAGGTCTGGTTGCAGCCCTTCATCACTCTATGCATTGCAAACATCCAACACAGAGGAAGGAGAACGGCCTGAGTGCAGAACATGCTTCCAAACTCTAGTAGGAGCAGTCGCAAAACCTGATACACCTGCATCTAAGCAGGGTGAACACTGAACACCTTCTATCTGAGCAGCCATTTAAAACAAACAATAAGAGGCGGAAAAAGTGTTTTAACTCCGAGTTTCACGCACTAAGCGATCATAAGAAAACAGTCAGCCATTTATTCTGTCCCAGCATGCATCGATTTCGCCACCTGGACAGATGATTCCAGAGCTAGTGAGTCATACACAGTACTGACCTTCTGTACGTGTGTGTCGACTCCCTTGAACGTGCCCAAGCCCACACCAAACTGCTCCAGTACACCAAGCTTCTTGTTGACCATTGGCCTGGAGCATCGACCACGGCACACGCACGCACGCACACCGCGCGCGCGCGCGCACACACACACACACACACACACACACACACACACACACACACACACACCACGAACACACACAGCAAATAAAGCGCAGTTCTCAAATTCCTGGTACAGTACATGGAATAGAACTAGAGATCTCATATGACAATTATTGTGAAGCACCAGCAGACAATAATCTAACATCTGATAAGGATCAAAGCTACTTAAATAATAATTATTAGGAAACAAATCAAGTTGCATACCAAGCTGCATGTCACGATAGGCATGTAAGGGAATCGGTTGTGCCTTTGTGCCATACCAGCACTTACCAGATGTGATCATCCACTGTCCCCTGAGCAACTAAGTACTGAATAGCTACGTTGCTTTTCTGACCAATGCGATACACTCTATCCTCTCCCTGGATCAACATCTAGCAACACACACGTACATACAGAAAACCACACACACATATACATGTACACAGGCACGCACACACACAATTTCATCCTCCTTGTATCAATTTTGACGTACATGTTAAAACCAACAAAAGCTTTTGAAACTGAATACTTAAAATACTGAGCACTTGTCCAATATAGTGATAAATAGTATCAGTGAAGCGGACATTACGCAAAGAACAAAGAGAATATGTTGATAAAATGTTCCTAATTGATTTTCTTGTACCATCAGGGAAAAGTCATCTCACAACAGAAGCTATGCAGGGAAACAAACAAACTCATACGTCTAGTGCTTCCATGCCTTCATTCCACTCACCTTTGCTATTAGTTCACACCGCTCAAACACTCTCAGATCTTTTTCTTCTTATTTCTTTCGTCTTCTCTCCCACATTTTTTTCACATCTCACCTTTATACTTGACAATAGTATAGATGTAAGTTTTTCCCCCGCATAGCTTCTGTTGTGAGACGACTTTTCCCTGATGATAGTCTCAAGAAAATCGATTATAGGCAATTCACACGACAGGCACGGCACGTTTTACAGGGAGTGATATACGAGAAAAGTGACTGTGTGGATTCACACGGCTGCACTCGACGACAGGCATGTTTGCATTTTTGAATGCTTCACCCACCAGTAGCCATGGGTATTTCAAATTTTCAAAACACGCACACAATAATTATCATGTTGAAAAATGAACTCGTGCACGCCACGATTATCGTGAAAGCGGGCCCCCAGCTCGCTTGCACTTTTCAGCCACTTTTCTCGTTCACAGGTAAAATACCATAGCAACGTTTCGGTGCATGTGGATTCGCCTGTCGCGTGAATCGCCTATAAGGAACATTTAATCAACATATTCTCTTTGTTCTTTGCGGAATATCCGCTTCACTGATACTATTAATTTTAAGTCGGCAGGAACTGCGAGCTCCCATGTAGGGAGCAACACACTCTTCCTCTACTATCGCCGAAGTCGCACCAACCTCTTCTTCACACTATTAATTTTATCGCTACAATAAAGTTATTGTCTCCCCGTCGCCTATTCACTTGTCCAATACTAATTTATTTTTATTTTTGTTTCAGGGACTTCCCCTGAGGAAACAGAACATAAAGGACTCGATAAAGTATTATAATTAAAAAAACTCGTGAAGAGATGTGCTAAAAACTCCCGAATACTCCACTGAGGAGTGTTTTTTCTCTTTTTTTCACTCGATATGCATAAAGGCATGAAAGAGGAGAAACTGAACAATCTTTGCACCAATGTTCAAGTATTGAGCTACCTTAAGTTAAACATTACGTTTGGACGTTCAAAATTAACATTCCTTTCACTCCTATCATGCAGACAGTCATGCAGGCAGTCATGCAGGCAGGCAATGAGCTGCTTACCCCGGGGTTCCAGTAGAGCTCAGTGAACACGGCACGAGCAGCAGCAGTCAGCGTTATGCCTGTGCAGGACAACAAGCCCAGCAGCAGCAGCAGCACACCACAATACACACATCCACTCACAACCTATCACAACTCCTCACAGAAACGGCACCAGGAAGGATACGAGGGGCAGCAGTGGTAGGTCTACTTCAGTGAACCCTTGATACCCGTCGAGTAGTGGAATCTCAACCCATACCTGTATAGATATACACACAACACAGTTGCTCACGGCAAAAACACATACCAATTCCAGCAGCGGTGATGGACAGCAACGCAACACGGCAATCCGTGTCGTTCTGAAACTTGTCGCAGTACACTTGGCGGGCCTTGCTGTTCGTCTTGCCATCAATGCGAATGAAGTCCAGTTTCTGGCAATGACACAAGCACAAACACAGACAGGCACAGTAACACAATTCCAAAGCAGTCGTAGGTGGCTGGACAAACATTTCAATTCGCTGAGAGGTGAAGTGAGCAGCTTAATAAGACCCACTAGTCCAAACATGTCTGAAGAGACTTTGGAAGAACTGGCGCCCAACTGGTTTTTTGGTTTTTTGAAGGCGGTTTCACAACTTACACCCAAGTGGCTGTGCATGCGGCAGTGGCTGCATGAAAGAGTGCACTCCAAACCGTCAAGGCAGCTGTTTTTAATGCTGGCTACAATCTATACACTTGACTAATTAGCATGTTGTAACGCTAACGCAACCAGACAACCAGGCAATGGGGATCATTTTTTCAAGCCAAGCAAAAGCCCTACATACTTGAAGCAGGAATTATTTAATAATGGCAGCTACACACACACACATCTACTCAACTGATATACCACTGACCATTGACTTGATGAGTTCTTCCAACCCATCCAACATCGTTTGGTGATGGGCAAACACAACCATCTTCTCTGATACATCCTGCAATGATTCTTGTATGTATGTCCTACAGCACAGGGGGAGAGAGAAAGAGAGAGAGAGAGAGAGTGTGTGTGTGTGTGTGTGTGTGTGTGTGTGTGTGTGTGTGTGTGTGTGTGTGTGTGTGTGTGTGTGTGTGTGTGGCTTCGCCAGTTGTGTGGATTAGACAGTTATCTGGCGCAAGTCTTGATCTGTCTCATTCAGATCTTGTTCGCTATCGTTGCTATAAGGCCATCATTTTTTATAGCTATGTTTCGCGTCGTCCGCACGCATACGTTTTGATTTTTTTGGAAAAAAATAAAAAATCGAACATGCACAGTGAATGTACGATTGTGCGAGTCATAAGTGTGGACTGGCGAAGCTGGGATTCAGAAATGGCCGCTAGGCCAGCATTGGTAAATCGTTTGTTCGGCATGTGGGAGCAATATTCTCTGAGCTTACACCAGACCGCATTGACCACCTCAAGCTGAGAGGATGCGTCGTTCCGGAGCTTTTTGCACCGCTGCTGAAGTCTGAGTACAAAAATCCAGCGAAGCATAGGCACCAACGGTTGCCTCCTCCGTCCAAAGTGAATATTTTACTCATGCTGATAACCCAGATGTTGTGCCTCGATGTACGATTTTTCTTTCGAATGTACAACATGCACGAGCTTTTGTGCTATGTACATGTATACAGTGCATACACCTCTGATGAGCCTTTTTTATTATTTTGCAACTTTTTATTTTTTTCCACCTCTCGCATATGATTCTGGAAGTTGACCTGACGCGAAACATAGATATAAAAAATGATGGCCTAAGAGAAAATCTGTGGGTGCACATCCAGTGCATTTGCAGATTTGCGTGCTTCTTTTGCGACGGGCGTATACATGGTACATGGTACATGGTGTGTGTGTGTGTGTGTGTGTGTGTGTGTGTGTGTGTGTGTGTGTGTGTGTGTGTGTGTGTGTGTGTGTGTGTATGTATGTGTGTGCGTGTATTGTGCACATACATAGGATGTTCACTCGTATGCATATACAATGACACGTCCAGAGACAGACAGAGCTAAAAGAAGCATAGGCACGGAACAGGAAATGCTAGTCTGCACCCAGAACAGAGAACTGAAGGGACTTGAGAAAGTCTACAAATGGCTGCACAATACAAGGAACTAACTTGACAGCTGGAAGCTTGCTCTGGGCACTGATAGAATACAGCTCAAGAAGCATAGCTCTGGTGTCCTGCAAGCAACAACAAAACAAAACAGGACAATAGGAAGCTATGCTCGCAGTCACACTACACATTTGAGAGTATACTTGCATGTGGGCAGTACGTTGAGCAAATTGCAGCTACGCTCTGCCAGAACAGAAGTGCCCGTGGAAGAGTTGAGCACAGGTAGAATATTCCTAGCAACTGTTTGTTCCAGTGAGTGAGTACATTGAGCAGAAAAAGACAATGATAGTCATACACACACGGGTGCAGTACTATCAGAATAGGTGATGGTGAGAAGGATTATCAAGGGATACTAATAGCTACTAGGGAGCACAAGTACTAGCATTGTCAAGTGCTAAGTCGATGAAAAGGTGGGGAATAGCAATACATCGCCAGCCATTCCTCAGTAGCACGGGCAAGCATGGCGTGCATGTAGATGACACAAGTAAACACAGCAGCACTGCCATGGATCCTCTCACCACCATGACACCTGCATGACTTTGAGTAATTTTATCGCGTTTTCTCCCATCAAAAGCTTATGTGCGAACTGAGAATATCACAGCACGCAAAAAATAGCTCACCTCTCGCTGGTCACGGCCCTTGGCGGAGTTCAGCGCCAGCGCATTGGAAATCTTGGTGGCCTTCCTCACACCAGTGAGTGCCTTAGGGTCAAGGAGCACCTACCAGAGTAGTCACAACAAGTTGAGAAATCAGAAAAAATTCGGGCAGGTTTGATAGTACCGCTACAGACTGCAGGACGCCCTAAAGAAGACACGAAAAGTTGTTTTCTGCTTTCCCAGCATCCTGTCTACACTCTGTACGTAGAGCGATGCAGAACACTGACAGTACAATGTCCGCAGACGGTCTGATTTTACTTCAGTTCAGCGCTGACCATGATCCCCACCCAGTTGCAATAGAAAATTAATATCACACACATGTAACGGCCTACTCAGCCTACCAGTTTACGACTCTTCGCCGGCATCTGGTCCATGACCTCTGCCTTTAGCCGCCTGCACCAACAGCAAGAAAATAAACGAGAGAAAGAACAGTTAGAGTAAAACATGTGTGTTTGCCGGACCCTGTACTGTAGGCTGTGAAAAAAATAGTGAAGTTTGCACATCCGCTTTACCACCGGCTTACAATTATGTTGAGAAACACAAGCAGCTTAGAGAAGGTTCGCTTGTGCCAGGCCACCACCATGCCTGATTATGCCAGGGTGGCAGATGCAGCGCTTAACGGTGAGGGTGAGTTGGTAAGTCTCACGACCAAGGCCCGAGAAGGGGACGAACCTCATTAGATGCGGCCGGACACTGTACCAAGCGGAATCCTGTACTGACCGGACACATTTTCATGCACTGACGTACTGTGGATCGAACTTGCATTCCTGGATCAAGCGGAATCCTGCCACACCAGGACAGTTCCCTCTGCTCCAAGGGCGTCCGGCTAGGGCAGGTTCTACTGTACTACTGTAGTATGTGGTACCACGCATTGCATAGACACAGCATTCAACACTCGCTACCAATAGTCATATAGTTCCAGGCTCAGGATTCCAGGAGAAACGTTGTCACCACAAACACAACAAGAAGAGAATGGAATTGAACTTTCAGATCTAAACCATACCGCAACATGACAGTCGCTTCCAAGAAATTCTGCAGCTCCAAAGGGTTCGAGTTCCCTGTGAAGTCCCAACCGAATGGGCCCTGTTTTGCAGAACGCATACACACACACGTACATAAACACGCCCAACCGCAAATGGTCTACGGCAGCCAGTGGAAATTGAATGCGGAGCAGGACCTACAGCAAATACTTCTACATGTTAAATTGTGGAATTGTGTGTTGCTCCCTATGTGGGAGCTCGCACTTTTCCTGCGGACTTGAATTCTCACTTGACTGACTCACGACTGCCATCCAGAGCACAGGAAAAGTCCATCGAACTTTCCACTCGGCAAACCTGCAAGAAAGCACCTGCTCAATACACAGTGTTTCGGGGAATTCACCTCTCCTCAGTTGAGCTTGAGTAGGCTAAGGAAGATTGTGTCCGAACAGCACCACTTATATAGTGCTCTTCAGACCAAACCATCACCAGGGATACAAACTTACAGAGACGCGAACATTGTTGTCCCCAGTGCGGGCTTGCGAATTAGATGGTTTGGAGGCAACAGCGTTGTGAATGACCAACGGTCCTCAGCGTTCGTTCAGCGCCTCCATGAGCGACATTGACTAGCGCTGCTATCTGGTGTTCACGAGGTGTTTGACGCGCTGGAAAAGGAGCGTCTCTGTAAGTTTGTGTCCCTGGTGATGTTTGTGCCTGGAGAGCACTATATAAGTGGTGTTCTTCAGGCACAATCTTCCTCGGCCTACTCAAGCTCAACTGATGAGGGGTGAATTCCCTGAAACACTGTGTATTGAGCAGGGAGTGGTGCTTTCTAACAGGTTTGGCGAGTGGAAGGTTCGATGGACTTCTCGTGTGCTCCGGATGGCAGTCGTGAGACAGTCAATTGAGAATTCAAGTTGGCAGGAAAAGCACGAGCTCCTATGGAGGAAGCAACACACAATTCCCCAAGTATCGCCGAAGTCGCACCAACCTCTCCTTCATGTCTAATTGTCTATTAATAAAACACAGTACATTCTGGTTACAGGTACCCAGCCCCCCCCCCCCCCCCTGTCTGGATAAGACAGCCTCAGCTATCACATTATGGATTATTCCTCCTGCTTCAACGGGGACCGCGATCAACAGGGACTGCGCTCACTAACAAATGGGTTTCTTGACATCCTGGACGTGCTTGTTACTCATTGACCTGATGCAGTATGAGTTCAGCCCAGGCAACTGCATGGGTGACCTCCAGCCTTTGGACCTGAGCAATAACAGTCTGAATGCACACTGGCTGCCTGAAAGACATGTTTACTGACTGGTATGCAGACAGAGCTGCAGCAGTAGTAGTAGCAGCACAAAGAATAATTATGTTGATGATGCAGTTGTGGCCAATGCCTCACCAGAGGTCTGTCTGCCCACCACAAAGCCAAAGCACACACCCATAGGCCATAGGCACATGCACGTTCAGTACACACGCACACACACAGTGACACACAGTGACACACACACACACACACACACACACACACACACACACACACACACACACACACACACACACACACACACACACACACATTCGACCATTTGACGCCCATCGCCAGAGGCGATGATAGCGATGCTACAGCAGAGGCTCTTTCTCAGACTCCTCCTGACTTTCCTTTCACACACATACCCCCTGAAACCCCCAAAACTCTGGGTGGACTTGAAAATGATCCACTTATGGGCTCACCACACCTCAGTAAGTGGGTGAGGACAAGGTGCAGAAAAAGGATTGACGGCATCAGGGTATCCGTCCCGGGATCCAACTGCAGTTACCCCTGCCCGCAGTGAAGGTAATACTTGCTACTAGTGTGGGTGGCTAAATCAGAGTGCACACACACACACACACACACACACACACACACACACACACACACACACACACACACACACCACACACATACAAATACACAACACACACACACACACACACACACACATACACATACACACACACATACACACACACACATACACACACACACACACACACACACACACACACATGTTCACACACGTCAGGAAGAGCACGACAGACCTGGAATCCAGCGCAGTAGCGTATCCCGTACTCCTGTGCGTAAGGAAGCAGCTTCGGCCGTACACATTCGACCTGGGTGTAGAGCTCCATGGGTCGAGAAAGAGCAGGTGTTCCGGATAGTAAGATGGCGCGTGACGCTCTCTGTACAACACACATATATATATATATATATATACACTCAGACGGATCTCCAAGTTTCTCAGTGTTGCTACTCTGAGTTTCGTGCAAAAGCACTCTTCAGGCAACTTACTCTTCTCTCACATCAGTATCCCTTTACATACCAGAAAAGACGAAAGAAGCACCCTAGGTGGGAATCACAGGTGGAGAAAAGAAGCACGCTAGCCAGTCTAGGTGGGAATCACAGGTGAAGATAAATGTGGCAAGTGTGGTAGTGTGAGCAATCGCGCAGGCCGGGTGGTGTGCATAAAGTGAAGTAGGATGCATGCACATTAGATAGCAGGAGTTCTGTATATGTGTAACAGATAGCAAGCGCAGTCTACAGTTCAGGTCACCTCCGATAGGAGGTACTTGGTGCTGTGGCGACATTTTGTGACCAGGCTGCATCTGGTGTTGAGGAGCGATGCCTTGTCACTCTTCATTATGGCGATCTTCTCCGATAGGCATAGGTTGCACCGCTTCGAGGTTCTTTTGTAGGCGCTGGATCTCTGCCTGATTCTCCACGAGATGTTGACGTCTTCACCTGCCTCCTTCAATGCCCATGCATGCTTTGACAATTCTGTGCTGTTTCTGTGTGTATATATATATATATATATATGGCAAGGTACGTTCGGGCCTGATTGGAAATTTTTATTTCCATTGCTATCAGGTTCGGCCTCATTTCCTCTGTGCTGCGCTGACGAGTCCACAAAGGACGAAACAGTTCTGTCCGCAGATTGAGTATTTCGCTCCTGCTCTTGTAGCAGTTGAGCACTCTTGCGTGGGGTAGTGCCTTTGCTGTTTGCGTTATGCAGAGCTCACTGGCTTGTCAGTTTGAGCACTCTGGCAAGGTACGTTCGGGCCTGATTGGAAATTTTTATTTCCATTGCTATCAGGTTCGGCCTCATTTCCTCTGTGCTGCGCTGACGAGTCCACAAAGGACGAAACAGTTCTGTCCGCAGATTGAGTATTTCGCTCCTGCTCTTGTAGCAGTTGAGCACTCTTGCGTGGGGTAGTGCCTTTGCTGTTTGCGTTATGCAGAGCTCACTGGCTTGTCAGTTTGAGCACTCTGGCAAGGTACGTTCGGGCCTGATTGGAAATTTTATTTCCATTGCTATCAGGTTCGGCCTCATTTCCTCTGTGCTGCGCTGACGAGTCCACAAAGGACGAAACAGTTCTGTCCGCAGATTGAGTATATATATATATATATATATATATACCAGCCCGAAACAGCGGGCACCGATTCACACTGGAGGCGCTGTACATTCGCAGTTTGAGGCCAGAACTGTGTCGACAAAAGAAGCACATCAAGGTGCTACGGCTGTTCAAGCTGCAACCGGACTGACAACTTTATCACGTGTTTGTTCTGGTACTGCATTCCCCTCATGTGTTGTTTCCCGCATTTTTCCACTGCTCCATACATTCTTATGGTAGTGTAGTGTGAACTTGAGGCGCGTAAGAATATTCTTGCTGATTCTCTACCCCCAGTATAAATTCTGGCTTCGTTTTCGTTCTTGCTCATTCCCATGTAACCACTGATGAAAAATGGGTGAAAAGCTTTTGGTATTATGAAACTGACAACCTTGTTGTTGTGTGTATATATATATATATATATATATGAGGGGAATGCAGTACCAGAACAAACACGTGATAAAGTTGTCAGTCCGGTTGCAGCTTGAACAGCCGTAGCACCTTGATGTTTTTCCACTGCTCCATACATTCTTATGGTAGTGTAGTGTGAACTTGAGGCGCGTAAGAATATTCTTGCTGATTCTCTACCCCCAGTATAAATTCTGGCTTCGTTTTCGTTCTTGCTCATTCCCATGTAACCACTGATGAAAATGGGTGAAAAGCTTTTGGTATTATGAAACTGACAACCTTGTTGTTGTGTGTATATAAATTTTGTTCGCCTACCTCTCTATTTAAATATATATATATATATATATATACTCAATCTGCGGACAGCATGCTGTTTCGTTCTTTTTGAACTCATCAGCGCAGCACAGAGGAAATGAGGCCGAACCTGATAGCAATGGAAATAAAAATTTCCAATCAGGCCCGAACGTACCTTGCCAGAGTGCTCAAACTGACAAGTCAGTGAGCTCTGCATAACGCAAACAGCAAAGGCACTACCCCACGCAAGAGTGCTCAACTGCTACAAGAGCAGGAGCGAAATACTCAATCTGCGGACAGCATGCTGTTTCGTTCTTTTTGAACTCATCAGCGCAGCACAGAGGAAATGAGGCCGAACCTGATATATATATATATTTATATATACATACACGTACAGCAACATAAGTTACACCATCAACCACTAGTGCACCACAGAAAGGTACATGTAGTTTCAACTACTAATTCCCCAACAAGTGAATGGACGTGCATACTGTAAAGTAGTGATGCAACGAATGGTGCTTTCATCAAACGAATAATCTCTCGAATGTAGCTTAGACAAACGAACGAATATTCCTCTGATGAGGCAAAGTCAATGTTCGTTGATAAACGTGGTCTTTCAGTAGCCTGCTCTAGGCGCCGCTCAAGCTGAACCCTCCGGCAGAAACACCGAACGTAATAACTCACCTGGAGTACGGGTGCCCACCGCCTTATAACGCTGAGTTGTTCGGTTCTTGATGAAGTGCGACTCGTCCTGGGAGTGAATGACAGAGAAATGCAAAGCGAGAGTGAACCAAGAGTTCCAAACAGCTCTGCAGCAGCCCTGGGGAGAGTACAGACTGCAGGAAACCCCACCCACATTGATGTACTTCAGTAGGTCACAGGTGTCCGCAGCAAAGAACACAAGAGGCAAACCGCATTTTCAACACCCGTTTCACTGACACCGCGGCATTACAGAGAAATGCATAGGAAATGCCACAACCTCCACTTTTATACAGTACCTATGTCAGACATGGGCAGTGAGGTTCGGGAGTTGATTTACACATTGTCTGTGATAGCAATACATGTACATCACAGTGAGGGTGATATGCACTGCATACAACACTCCATACAACATGTACTGCACACACACTCCATACAACATGCACTGCATACAACACTCCATACAACATGCACTGCATACAACACTCCATACAACATGCACTGCACACAACACTCCATACAACATGCACAGTGCACAACACTCCATACAACATGCACAGTGCACAACACTCAATACAACATGCACAGTGCACAACACTCAATACAACATGTACTGCACACAACACTCCATACAACATGCACAGTGCACAACACTCCATACAACATGCACTGCACACAACACTCCATACAACATGCACAGTGCACAACACTCCATACAACATGCACTGCACACAACACTCCATACAACATGCACAGTGCACAACACTCCATACAACATGCACAGTGCACAACACTCCATACAACATGCACTGCACACAACACTCCATACAACATGCACAGTGCACAACACTCAATACAACATGCACAGTGCACAACACTCCATACAACATGCACTGCACACAACACTCCATACAACATGCACAGTGCACAACACTCCATACAACATGCACAGTGCACAACACTCCATACAACAATGCACAGTGCACAACACTCCATACAACATGCACAGTGCACAACACTCCATACAACATGCACTGCACACAACACTCCATACAACATGCACAGTGCACAACACTCCATACACATGCACTGCACACAACACTCCATACAACATGTACTGCACACAACACTCCATACAACATGCACTGCACACAACACTCCATACAACATGCACAGTGCACAACACTCCATACAACATGCACAGTGCACAACACTCCATACAACATGCACTGCACACAACACTCCATACAACATGCACAGTGCACAACACTCCATACAACATGCACAGTGCACAACACTCCATACAACATGCACTGCACACAACACTCCACACAACATGTACTGCACACAACACTCCATACAACATGCACTGCACACAACACTCCATACAACATGCACTGCACACAACACTCCATACAACATGTACTGCACACAACACTCCATACAACATGTACTGCACACAACACTCCATACAACATGCACAGCGCACAACACTCCATACAACATGCACAGTGCACAACACTCCATACAACATGCACTGCACACAACACTCCATACAACATGTACTGCACACAACACTCCATACAACATGCACTGCACACAACACTCCATACAACATGCACAGTGCACAACACTCCATACAACCAAGAGTCCATAACCCAAGAGTATGCAACTGTGATTATGGGTGCATGCGCGGCGCGCTGCCTTCATTACGTATCTTGCCTTCATCACGCTCTGAAAGCATGCATTCAAACTCTCAATTTCTCGCACGAGCCCATCCGTTTTTGCTCGATTCGTTCCAGTACCTACACAATCTCTGAATTCTGGCGCGTGAACTCCAGTTCCGTACGAAAGTTCATTTCAAACTAGAGGGAAAGTGCGGTGTTTGATTTTCCGCAGTGCGCGGACTGCAGCTGAATGATGTAATGAAGGCAGCGCGCCGCGCGGTTGGCCCATAGAAAAGAGATCACAGTTGCATACTCTTGGGTTATGGACTCTTGATACAACATGTACTGCACACAACACTCCATACAACATGTACTGCACACAACACTCCATACAACATGTACTGCACACAACACTCCATACAACATGTACTGCACACAACACTCCATACAACATGCACTGCACACAACACTCAATACAACATGTACTGCACACAACACTCCATACAACATGCACTGCACACAACACTCCATACAACATGCACAGTGCACAACACTCCATACAACATGCACAGTGCACAACACTCCATACAACATGCACTGCACACAACACTCCATACAACATGCACAGTGCACAACACTCCATACAACATGCACAGTGCACAACACTCCATACAACATGCACTGCACACAACACTCCACACAACATGTACTGCACACAACACTCCATACAACATGCACTGCACACAACACTCCATACAACATGTACTGCACACAACACTCCATACAACATGTACTGCACACAACACTCCATACAACATGCACAGCGCACAACACTCCATACAACATGCACAGTGCACAACACTCCATACAACATGCACTGCACACAACACTCCATACAACATGTACTGCACACAACACTCCATACAACATGCACTGCACACAACACTCCATACAACATGCACAGTGCACAACACTCCATACAACCAAGAGTCCATAACCCAAGAGTATGCAACTGTGATTATGGGTGCATGCGCGGCGCGCTGCCTTCATTACGTATCTTGCCTTCATCACGCTCTGAAAGCATGCATTCAAACTCTCAATTTCTCGCACGAGCCCATCCGTTTTTGCTCGATTCGTTCCAGTACCTACAACAATCTCTGAATTCTGGCGCGTGAACTCCAGTTCCGTACGAAAGTTCATTTCAAACTAGAGGGAAAGTGCGGTGTTTGATTTTCCGCAGTGCGCGGACTGCAGCTGAATGATGTAATGAAGGCAGCGCGCCGCGCGGTTGGCCCATAGAAAAGAGATCACAGTTGCATACTCTTGGGTTATGGACTCTTGATACAACATGTACTGCACACAACACTCCATACAACATGTACTGCACACAACACTCCATACAACATGTACTGCACACAACACTCCATACAACATGCACTGCACACAACACTCCATACAACATGCACTGCACACAACACTCCATACAACATGCACAGTGCACAACACTCCATACAACATGCACTGCACACAACACTCCATACAACATGTACTGCACACAACACTCCATACAACATGTACTGCACACAACACTCCATACAACATGTACTGCACACAACACTCCATACAACATGCACTGCACACAACACTCCATACAACATGTACTGCACACAACACTCCATACAACATGTACTGCACACAACACTCCATACAACATGCACCGCACACACCACTCCATACAACATGCACGCACACAACACTCCATACAACATGCACTGCACACAACACTCCATACAACATGCACAGCGCACAACACTCCACACAACATGTACTGCACACAACACTCCATACAACATGCACAGCGCACAACACTCCACACAACATGTACTGCACACAACACTCCATACAACATGCACTGCACACAACACTCCATACAACATGCACTGCACACAACACTCCATACAACATGCACAGCGCACAACACTCCACACAACATGCACCGCACACAACACTCCATACAACATGTACTGCACACAACACTCCATACAACATGCACAGCGCACAACACTCCACACAACATGTACTGCACACAACACTCCACACAACATGCACTGCACACAACACTCCATACAACATGCACATGTTTACTTGATAGAAGTCATCAAAGCACATCCTTATCCTTTCCAACGATGCGCCAATGGTCAGATCACGCTTCCATTCACATACCTGCCAAGTACTGAGAGTGCTTTTCTGGATCGCCATGGCAAATTCCGGGGATTTGCCTTGGTTTTTCGGGATATGTCATATTTTTACCAACAAATCCTTTTTCAACTTTTGATGGCACCATTTCGATAATGATGATTGATCACAGGAGCACTAGGAGATCCACTGGTACTGCAGGCTATGGCGGTCCGGGATCAATAAGGACAATTACTGGCCTGTGACAAGTCATTTGAAGTGCTCCAAGTACAATATCAAGCTTGTTTCTTGTACAGTGAATTTCGGGATAATCGACAGGAATTTCGAGATCGCGGGAGTTCATCCAAAATTGCGGTATAATCCCGAAAAATCTGGATACTTGGCAGGTATGCATTCAGACCAGGTCTTTGCTTACGTGTGTCCCGCACTCCACATATTTCCAAGATTCTCTCCGAATCACACGTCTATTACATGCTTACACACACACACACACACACACACACACACACACACACACACACACACACACACACACACACACACACACACACACACACACACACACACACACTACTACTACTACTACTACTACTATTGACAGCTGCCAGAAATGGCCACGCCGCTCCCCAAAGGGAGGTACTGTCAGAGAGGTTAGGGGAGAGGTAGGCAGTGCTTCAAATGGCGCTCCAGGTCCTGTCGCCTCCGAAACTGGCGTTGACTACAGACTCGGCAATGATGTTCAAAGTGCTGGCGATCAGTCACTGTAGGGCGCTGCGGGCGGGGTCCACAGCGATGGCGCTTGAGGCCCAGCAGTAGACTTGAAAGTACGCTGGCAGGCAGTACACACCGGGACCTCGGCAACAGGAGGAGCATCAAAAGGCGGTCGGTCGTCACAGTTGTCACTCCCTAGGCACTTATGCACTGCAAGCCCACCCCTGCTCCGGACACACACACACACACACACACACACACAGAGCCTTTGTGGCACGTGTCGTTCAGGCATACACAGCGTGACACAGCAACGCCACATGCAATGCACCACCACTCACCAAGATGACGACTTGATACCGTTCCTCCTGGAAGAGCTTTAGGATGACGGGATAGAAGACCATAGCTAGCAATGTTGATCAGGCCCTTGTTCGGATCATCTGTGCCCTTACGAAAAACATTGACGTCTGACTCTTCCAAGGATGGAATCCAACGCAGGAACGACTTTGTGCACAAAAACACAACAACAAAGTAAAGGTCTTCCTAAGGTGTATAACTGTGTGAAACAAAGTAAAGGCAGACAACAAAAAAAAATATATATTCATGGGTCGCGCAAGGCTCGGCTAAAGGCCGAGTTTTCCGCATCCGCAGGAACACCTCTTGGATCAAGGCGCAGATGCAGTTCCGAAGCGGTGGGAGGTGAGTAGATCAGACCCACCACAAAGTGGCCAAAGACCGAAAATCCCATGCACTGCATCCATGTTTCCCTCGTGCCAGGCCACGAGTTCCCAAATAAACTGGCAGACAAAGCCAGACAAAATGCAATGCTACGCTGAGAGTAAACCAGCCACACAACTGGGACTGTTCAACCTGCGTAATCACTAGCATTAATCACCAATAAGTCCTTCCGAGACCATTCAGATAACTGAACACTGAACAATGTGTCTTGTCACACAGGATAACATGATCTACATGTATCCAACCTCCTATGAATAGAGCGCGTTTCAATAATATTCTAGTAAGTACTCGTTATACATACCCGTAGTACGCAGGCATGCAAGCAAAGTGTATACGTTGCATATGCAGGGGCGTAGCACCCGCTACGACTGGTACGACCATGGCCGTACCACTTTTCGAAAAGTGTGGTCCGTCCGGAACGTGCAAAACCGTAATAAAAAAATCAGGATCCATCGATGCATATGCGCATCAGACTTTGACCTTTTTCTAGACTCGTACTCGTAGATCTGT